AAAAGTAGTGGAAAACAAAGAAGAGGGGGAAGGAAAAGTAAAGAAATATAGAAAAGAAATCCGGGAACTCGTTAAGTGATTCCCTGCAGTTGTTAACTTAGTGACACGGCATTAAATGAATCCTGGCTTCCCTATTGACTTTGCTTGTCAGACGGTGGCAAAGGGCAACGACATGAAGCCGGGGCACTGAAACCGACCTAAGTACATGCCAGTTTCCACGTGTCCACATTTCAAAGGAGGAAAGGAAGGGGGAAACGAAGGAGAGAAGGAGAAAAGAAAGGAGGGAAGGAAGGAAGGAAGGAAGGAGGGAAGGAAGGAGGAAAGGAAGGGGGAAACGAAGGAGAGAAGGAGAAAAGAAAGGAGGGAAGGAAGGAAGGAAGGAAGGAGGGAAGGAAGGAGGGATAACAATTAAACAATTGTAGTTAAATGGAGGTATAATGATGGTAACATGTATAAATATCTGAGTTAAAATACTTCAGTTAATATGAATTATGCTTGATGACTGTGGAAGAGATGCACGGAAGTCTTTTGTAACCAACTGATACACTTTCTACAGTATGTAAAAAAGGAAGATTTTATGTGTTGTGTTTGTTTTGAAAAAAAATTAAATTAAATTAAATTAAATTTTTTAAAAAAGAAAATCTTCCCTGCCTGCACTACCAAATGCAACCTCTAGAGGGCAGCAAGAGATTAAGATGATCTGCGTCTCTCTGCTGCCACCTAGTGGATCCCAGCACCAATCCTTGTTCTCACCATGATCAGAATCTGGAGGATGGTATCGATGTGCCACCGTTTGTTGGGCGCGAAGCTGTGGAAGGGAGTCAAAAGGTAGAAGAGAGCTCGTAAAGATTCCTGCAGAGCTGGATGGGTTCGTCCTGCTCTCTATCGCCCTCTTGCAGGGCAATGGTGGAATGACTCACTTCTCGGCAGCCAGGAACAATCCGGAAGCGCACTCTGACTTCAGATCCGGTGAGCTGCTTTCCATGAAGGCGAGCAATTCCTTAGTGGTTGTGCGAATGTTAGCGTGGTTGATCAGGGATAAACTCAGCTGGAGGGCTCTCCTGGGGAGCAAAAAGATAAATAAATCAGAAACACGGTTTTCTATTTATCAAAAATTAGAGCTTTCTCCCATCTTCCGGCCCGTTGTGATCTGCCAATGGAGGTGGCAGTAGAATCGGGGAGTGAGGAGGTTGGGGAGGGACATAGGCCAGTCCTGGAATCTGGGAAAGGCTCGGAGGAGGGCTCTGCGTCGGAGGCAGAGAGGGGGCCAGGGCCGTCTGGGAGTTATGTGCTGCCTCCGGAGCCTCCAGAGTCGGACATCAGCGAGGCAGAGGAACAGGAGGAGCCTGTTCCCAGTGCGCGCATGCGCAGAGCTGCCAGAAGGCAAGAGCCGTTAAGACAAAAGGGACGACTCGGCAGTAAGGCTTGGAGATGATTGGCCCCTCCCATGGGACATAAAGGAGGAGCAAAAGCAGGTGAGCCTTTGCAGGAAGCAACTTGGTTCGTTGTGGTTGGTTTAAATTCTGAAGCTCCGTTTTGACTCTGTGCTCCGTGTGGCCTTGCAAAGCTAATTGCCAATGAAGTCTTTGGCAGCGTTTCAAGGGAGATTTATCAGCCTTATCCCGAAAGACTTTGGCAGACTTCTGTCGGACTCTTTACAAACTTTTTTTTTTTGACTCATTAAGGGCTGTGAATGAACAGAGTTCACAGCCGTTGAAATAAAAAGAGGGTTTTTTGGGGGGGAAAAGTGTGTTCTTTCTACTCTCTCAAGAAACCTACGTCAGAACGGGGCCTTCAGCTCACCTCTTCACCGTCGAGTCGGGATCCGTCAGGCAGCCGAGGACGGTGGTTCGGTGTCTCTGGACAGCGTTGTTTTCCGTTTGCAACAATTTCTGGAGCGAGGTGAGGGCCACGTATCTAAACATCCCATCGATTAAAACGTTAATAGAATCGAGCGGAATTAAACCTCGTTTCCTCTGCTGCCCCCTGGTGGAATTCTGGGTGCAAAAATGCCCATTGAGCTAAAACGGATTTGCTTAACGACCGTGGGGCTTGCTTAACGGCACCCCTATATGCTTAATAACCACCGCTTTTTTTAAACAAGCCAGATGTGCTTAATGACCGCGTGACTCACTGAACGACGATGGCATGAAGCTCCTCGATTGGGCGCAATAACTCGATAACTGCCTGGCTTACGTGATGGGTCCCGATTGTCGTTGTAAGTCGAGGACTACCTGTACTGTCCACATGTAAAAGGGGGTGGGGCTTCAGATAGCCCCACCCACCCTTTCAAAAGCCAATGACTATTGGCTGAATATCCCGTCTGGGAGCGATCATCCAATGTTTTTCAACCTGGCAGTTTTTAAGACTTGTGGACTTCAACTCCCAGAATTCCCCAGCCAGCATCACTGGTTGGGGGATTCTGGGAGTTGAAGTCCACACAGTATCTTTGAAGTTGTTAAGTTTGAGAAAGACTGATAGATCACTCCCTTCAGCTACGACAGGAATCCATGGCTATAAGAACCCTGACAGACCGCCATCTAACCTCGGTTTAAACAAGGTTTAATTTTAACAAGGTTTAATTTCGTTTGGGTTCCCATAACATAGGAATTGTGTTTTGTTAACTCAAGGATCTAAAGTGTTGAGAAAACTAGACACTGTGTTTTTTCCTTTTTTGTCTAATCTTCCTTCCTTCACTCGCTCCCTCCCTCCCTCTCTACCTCCCTCCCCCCTTCCTTGTTTTCTTCGTTTCTTGTTCCTTCCTTTCTTCCCCCCTTTGTAACCCCCTTATTTCCTTCCCTCATTCTTCCTTATACATTCCATTCCTTTCTTCCTAATTCCCTTCTTTCCTTCCCTTCCTCCCTCCCTCTCTTCTGGTTTTTTTCTTTCTTCCCTCCTCTCTCATTCCTTCCTAACTCCCTTATTTCCTTCCTTCCTTCCCTTCTTCCTTTTTTATTTATTCCACTCTCCTTTCTTCCTAATTCCCTTGTTTCTTTCCTCCCCTCTCTACCTCCCTCCCTCCTTCCCTCCCCCATCCTTCCTTCCTAAATTCGTGGTTTCCTTTCTTTTTCCTTCCTTCCTCCCTCCCTTCTTCCCTACTCCATCCGTCCTTCCTAAATTCTTTGTTTCCTTCCTTGTCCCTTCCTCCCTCTCCTTCCTTCCTCCCTTATTTACTTCCCTCCCTCCTTCCTTATTTATTCCCTCCCTTTTTTCTTAATTCCCTTGTTTCCTTCCCTCTCTCCCTCTCTCCCACCTTGTTTTCTTTGTTTCTTGTTCCTTCCTTTCTTCCCCCTTTCCTTCCTTCCTTCCTAATTCCCTTATTTCCTTCCCTCATTCTTCCTTATTCATTCCATTCCTTTTTTCCTAATTCCCTTCTTTCCTTCCTTCCTTCCCTCCCTCCTTTCCTCCCTCCCTCACTTCTTGTTTTCCTCCTTCCTCCCTCCTCCCTTCCTAACTCCCTTATTTCCTTCCTTCCCTTCTTCGTTCCTTATTTATTCCACTCTCCTTTCTTCCTATTCCCTTGTTTCCTCCCCTCCCTCCCTCCCTTCTTGTTTTTCTTTCCTCCCTCATTCCTTCCTAACTCCCTTATTTCCTTCCTTCCTTCTCTTCTTCCTTCCTTATTTATTCCACTCTCCTTTCTTCCTAATTCCCTTGTTTCCTTCCTTCCCTCTCTTCCTCCCTCCCTTCTTCCCTCCCCCATCCTTCCTTCCTAAATTCCTTGTTTCCTTCCTTTTTCCTTCCTCCCTCCCTCCCCATCCTTCCTTCCTTCCTAAATTCTTTGTTTCCTTCCTTGTCCTTTCCTCCCTCTCCTCCCTCCCTCCCTTATTTACTTCCCTCCCTCCTTCCTTATTTATTCCCTGCCTTTCTTCCTAATTCCCTTGTTTCCTTCCCTCTCTTCCTCCCTCCTTCCTTGCTTTCTTGTCTCCTTCCTTCCTCCTTCCCTTCCTTCCTTCCTAAATTCCTTCCTTCTTTCCTTGTTTTCTTTCTTCCTCCCTCCTTTCTTTTCCTTTTTTCTTCCTTCCTTCCTTGTTCTTTCCTTCCTCCCTCTCCTTCCTTCCTAACTCCCTTATTTCCTTCCTTCCCTGCTTCCTTCCTTATTCATTCCCTCCCTTTCCTTCTAATCGCCTTGTTTCCTTCCTTTCCTCTCCTTCTCCTCCCTCCCTCCTTCTTTCCTTTCTTGTTTCCCTCCCTCCTCTCTCCCTTCCTAAATTCCTTCAAAAATTCCTTGTTCCTTCCTTCCTTCCTTCCTTCCTTTCTCTTCCTTCCTTTCTTTCTTTCCTTCCTTCCTTCCTTCCTCCTTTCTTTTCTTTTCTTTCTTTTTTTGCTAGGGAAATATTCATTCATTCAAGGAAATTCCAAATTCGAAGAACCACACAATAGGATGCTCTCTTCCTATTTATCTCCAAGCTTCCATTCAGATAAGCAGGAAAGCTTTTAATCACCCCAACATGAATAGTTTTATCCCAACTGGATTTAAATTTAGATTTTCTTTTCTTTTTTACCTGATATTCCTATCCTTGTTAAGGAGAAAACGCCCAAGGATATTTATCGCCAGAACCTATGCATGGAAAAAATATATATATCGAGAAATATATTAAATTCATTAATTAAAATGAATCTGAGGTAAAGGCGGGTTAGGAAAGCAGGTTGTGTTAAGGTAATGATGATTTAATAGCTGTAAGGCTGTAAACCGAGATGATGAAATGAGAATGAGTCTGTGGGGTTACTGCCCCTTTAAGAAGCTGTCTATATAAAGGAGGCCATGTGAGGGCGGCTTCTTCTGGTTTTGCCTAGTATGAGTATGTACCGTATTTTTCAGATTATAAGACGCACCTAAATTTAGAAGACAAAAAACATTTTTGGCCTTCATGCACCCCATTTTCAGGCCTTTTGGGGGGCCTTTTTTCTGCCCTTTTCCAGCCCCTTTTCTACCCATTTTTGAGGCTTTTATCGGCCCATTGGGGGGGCATTTTTCACCCCATTTTTAGGCTTTTCTGGGTCCATTTTTGAGGCTTTTGGGGCCTATTTTTGAGGCTTTTTTTGGCCCATTTCCGAGGCTATTTCTGGCCTGTTTATTCAAAAAATATGGGCCCCAAAAACCTTAAAAACGGGCTGAAAAAAACCTTGAAAATGGGCTGAATAAAACCCTTGAAAATGGGCCAAAAAAAGCCTCAAAAAGAGACTGAAAAAAATCTAGAAAACAGATGGAAAATAAGACCTGAAATAGGCCAAAAATAGGCCCAAAAATAGGGCACGCGGAGGCCAAAAAATGGCCGGCAGGTGGGCGGCCTTTGGCAATATTCAGTCTATATAAGATGCACAGACATTTTTACCCCCTTTTGGGAGACAAAAAAGTAGATCTTATAGTCTAAAAAATATGATATATATCTATCTCTATATCTAGCTGTCTATCTATTTATCAATCATCTATTTATCATCTCTCTATCTATTTATTTATCTATCTATCATCTATCTATCTATCTATCTATCTGTATCTCTCTCTCTATCAATCATCTATCTATCTATCTATCATCTATCTTTCTATCTGTCTGTCTATTTCTCTATCAATCATCTATCTATCTATCTATCTATCTATCTATCTATCTATCTATCTATCTATCTATCTATCAATCATCTATCCTTCTATCTCTCTCAATTATCTATCTATCTATCTATCTATCTATCTATCTATCTATCTATCTATCTATCTATCTATCTA